GTGCACGGTCAGGGGAAGCGAGGAGACCCACCGAGGGCGGCAGCGCTTCGCCCTAAAGCGCAGAGGGCGAGGGTGGCCGAGCAGGGCGCGGGTGCGCAAAAGCCAGTTTAGCCCCTCTGCCGGCATCCGGTTTAGTCATCCAGGGAGAGAAAATGAGCAGAAGATTGGAGCGGGAGACCTTAAGGGCTACTTTTTGCCCATTGACAGATAACTAGAACTATCTGCATTATCTATGCAGCACGGTGTTTTTATTATTTTTACCTAAAGACATCACTTTTTGGTATTGACAAACGTGATTTTTTAAAAAAACCTGGTCTTAGATAATTGTCCAAAAAAAAAAAAAGTCCATAGCAACAGTATTCATGCTAGTGAAATTTTAAAACCACCTACATGTCATATTGGAATGAATTAATCCACTGTCATCTCCTTATATAGTAGGGTATTACAGAGCAAGGAAAAGGGAGGAACAGGAAGACCATGTTTCCAAATAGATATATCTCTAAAACATGAAATCGAAGCCGGGCATGGTGCCGCACTCCTGTAATCCCAACACTCAGGAGGCTGAGGCAGGAGGATCCCTGTGAGTTCGAGACCAGCCTGGGCTACATAGTTCCAGGTAAGTCTCAATTACATAGTGAGACCCTGTCTCAAAAACAACAACAACCACAAAACCCAAAACAAAACCATGAAATCGAACAAAGAAAGAAAACAAAAAAAATAAAAAATAAAAAAATAAAAAGAGAAAACAAGCAAATAGAAGCAGTATACTAGAATAACATATAATATATAATAAAAAAGCTAAAATGAAAACAAGACTATACACATATGTACATATATCACAAGATATATAACAATAAGACAAAGAAAGGATAGTAGTTATAGTTATAACTGGACTAACAATTTCTAACATAACTTGTGGGTGGAGAAATAACTATTAAGGCATAATATATCCTTTTGTGGGGGGTACTGGGGCTTGAACTCGGCACCTTGCGCTTGCGAGGCAGGTGGCAGAACCACTGCACTAAAACCCCAGTTCTTGTCCTTTTTTGTATATGTTGAACAAGTAAAAGAAGAACGGGAAAAGAAGGAGAAGGCCGGTTTGGAAGGATGCAGCCCAGGAAGCCAAGGGCATGGCTCTGGGCTGTGGGTCCCACTGCAGCTGGGATCCGGAACGTCTGGGGCCGTGCATTCCAGGCATGGTGAAGCCTGGAGAAGGCGGGACCTGGAGGAAGGAAAGCTCAGTGGGGTGTGTGCCCATGCAGAGGGGCTGGGACCTGCCTTCTGTCACAATTCCTGGCCTCCAGCAGCGAGCACCTCCTCCTGCCACATGGTTGTGTGGCCACAGACCCAGAGTGACTGGAGCTTCTGAAACTGTCAGCCAGAGCAAACCTTCTCCCCATGAAGAGGATTATCTTGAGCTTAATCTCAGCGCAGAAAGCTGCCTGACACCCTTATCATCACTGAGACTCAGCACAAAAAGAGGGGAGACTGAGAATATGCCATTTAGGCCAGAGTGAAAGTTCCCTGGGAAAATCAGATGAAGAGGAAGATTGTGAAAGCATTCTTTCGGATGGGGAGGCTCATTAATTCATTCGCTGTGCTTTTACCAACTGCATGTGCCTGTCCTTGTTCTGGGACACAGCCATGGACAAAGCAGCCAAGACCACCCTTGTCAGCTTAGGTGTCTGGCAGGCAGGGTCTTTCCGTGTCCAGTCTTCTGGGGTGTGAGCTTCGCGGGAGGCGCCCAGAGCAGAAAGCACCTGTCAGATGGCACGAGGCGAGGAGGGAGTGAGGGGCACCTGTCCCCGGGACGCTCCCTTCCACTGGGGGCTGTTGTCTACATGGATCAGTGTGTTGAGGCACGCACAGGCCCTCCGGAGCATACGGGGTGGTAGGATTCTTGTAGGCTGCTTCTGCTTGGAAACCGAGTTGGCAACTTGGAGGACCATGGTGGTAACTCGGTCAGTGTTGGTGGAGTAGCCTGGTTGAAAGATTCTGCCCATGAAGCCCACACCTAAGGCTGACCTTAGAACTGGGCAGAGTCTGCTACCCCAAACTGTCTTACCACTGTCTACCTTTTTAGCCCCAGTCTGTTGCTATTAGAACTTCATTCCATTGCCTTGACCTCTTCTATTGTATTATATTGTATGTACCTTAGTGCAAGAGCACTTGCCTAGTGTCTGAGGCTCTAGGTTTGATTCCCCAGTATCAAAATCAAACCAAAACAAGCCCTAAAAGTTATTTTATAAATAACTCGTAATCTGACTTGTAACTTTAATGTTTTGAAAAGAATTGTGTCCTAAAATGGCTTGTTAATGAAAACACATGGTATCTGTGACATTCTGAGAGACACATAAAATTTGGACACACACTTGCTTATACTATTTCTTTTTTTTTTCCTCTTTATGTTTTCCAAGGCATGAAGAATACAGTTGAGAAAATAGGAGTTAAGGATGAAGGAGTGGCTTCTGCCCCGAGAGCATCCAGGAAGGCACAGAGAGAGCGTCCAGCAGTCAAGAAGGCGAGAGCAGGGTCTAACTGTTAGGAGCACAGAGACTACAAGAGCTTTCCACCTGCATTGCTCCAGAGCGCTCAAGGACACTTTCCTTCTGTGTGATAATTATACCGACACAACAGTGCAGAATTTAAAAGATGTCCATATTCAAAGTGATTTTTGTTTTTATTTTATGGCACTAGGGCTATGGTCTGAAGCACCCGTTAAAAGGCAGTAGATTGTGTCAGCGTATAGCATTTGATCTGCTGCACAAAGGGGCAGAACTATGGTCTGTGAAGCCCTTTAGGATTTGCCCACATCACTGAAGCCATGGTGCTAGGGGCTGGCTTCCGAGACGGTGGTTTACAGTCCTGTTTCCAAGTCCCGCCCCAGGAAGGACTTGAGCCTGTAAAGGTTTTATGGGAGGGAAACCACACATTAGACCTGGAAAATCTGACAGCTTACTTTACTGCCTTGTTTTTATTTATTTACTTTTTTTTTTGGGTACTGGGGATGGAACTCGGGACCTTACACTTGTTAAGCAGGCGGTGGAACCACTGAGCTAAATCTCGGGCCCCTTTATTTATTTACTTTTTAACTGTAAACTGTGTTCTCTGGTCTGGGAGGAGAAGGAAATCTCTGCTTTGCGTATTTTCAATTCTCAGATGAGGTGGTTTGCTTTTAAATAGCGGGGGATGGAGTACTGGAGAAACATCTCCAAACATTTTGAACACAGAGACCTTTTGTAGGTCAGGAACTAAAGTCTCCTTGCGAGAATTTCTGGGAATTCATGACTGCTGGATTGATCTGCATCAGGAAGAAATCCAGTCACCCCTCTTCTGGAGAACCATGTGACTAGGTTGGGTTGAATTTCTGTTTGCATATGAAGATGTTCGAGTCAGGGGGTGCTGTGACGGAAGATGGAGGGGGGAAATGAATATGGTGAAGGAAATAAATCTCATTTTTAAAAAGTGAAGGCCCTGCTACATGTCAGCGCTTCGAGGTGGAAAATAACCCAGAGGTCTTGTCCTTGAGGAGCTCACGGACAAGTAGATGAGACAGGTCGAAGTGTAATAAATATAAAGGCAGTCAAAGTACAATACTGCCAGGTCCAGGTTGTAGCTCAGCAGCACAGAGCCTGCCTGGCAAGCGAGAGCCCCTGAGTTTGATTTCTGGTATCCAAACCAAAAAGAGTACAAAACTACTGTTCGAAGCGTGGGGTTGGGAGTCTCCGGCTGAGCTGAATCCTGAGGGAGCGGTCCTTAACCAGAGATGACTGGGTGACACAGCTTTCTGGACGGGAGCCGGTAAATGGCTCGGTACAGGAATGGGGCTGCAGGGGGCGCCCACGAGCCCCCGGTCTGCCAGGCCCCGCTCCGCAGAGACACTGAGGGGTCTGAAGTAGGCGCACCCGCTATTTCCAATCTTTATTTTTTTCTCATGAACATTCTCATTGAAGAAAATTTAGGGTTATACAAGACATGAATATAAAATGTAAAATCACCTTCAATTCCACCACACAGAGATAGCCATTGCCTATTTTGGTATACTTGGCATGTGTCTTTTGTATTTGTGATCATTTTCTATATAAAATTGTACATTTTGAATTTTTCACTGACGTTATTTCCTGGCCACTTCTGTAATCTGTGTTCTTTTTTGTAGAATAGTTTTTGACTCACGGGAGTATTGCAGAGAGACACTGTGCAGAGATGATACGTGTCTTCACCCAGCCTTCCAAGGTGTCACCACTTTACTTCCTGTCTCTTCCTCTCCCAGTCCAACGTGCCTGCTTGTGTCATCTGTCCATGGAGACTCTGATGTGACTGCAGGAGTGGCGCAGCCTGGAACACGAGCGAGTGAGCGTCCCTAAACAGAGGCCTGCTGCATTCATGGTGCACTGAGCTTGGAATGGAGTTTGGAACAAAAGCAATTTGAGAACTAGGGAGTGCTCTGGGGCAGATGGCCTTGAAACTTTTGTTTTGTTTTTGTTTTTGACAGGAAGTCTTACTGTATTGCCCAGCTCTTGAATTCAAATTCCTGCCTCAGCCTCCTGAGCAGCTGTAATTAGAGGTCTGCACTACCACTCCCAGGTTTCTCCTCATGAGATGGGACTCTCAGGACTTCACGGGCTTGCCTTTGTGTGAGCCACTGCGTGTTCTACTGCCGATGAATTTTCGGTGTGGTGTTACTAAGTAACCACCAGATTGTTCTCCTTCTGTTTATACTGAACAAAGACTGTAACCTTGAGTTTCCCTGTGATCTTGACCCATTCCAACCTGGAGTCTGATCCAGTATCTCCTAACATTGTTCAAGGCCAATGCTGAAGGACTTGTGCTCATTTCCAAAGTCTTGGTTCAATCGTTGGTTTTCACGTGTCGGCCACGGAAAACACTACATACTGGCAGAGATCACAGGTGATGACGGAGACAACTCATCTCCAGGGCTCAGCCCTGCTCCTGCTCGCTTGTTCATCTCACTGAGAGATGAGGCCTCTTCCTGTTTAGAGCGTGTTTGCCCACTCTTGGGGCCATTTTCACGGCCTGCATAAATTTCATATTATGTTGCGCGTTTCTTTTTCTTTTCTTTTCTTTTTTGGTACCAGGGATCAAACATGGGACCTTGTGATTACAAAGCAGGCAGTGGAACCACTGAGCTAAATCCCCAGTCCTGTTGTGCATTTCGTGAGAGTAGAACTCTATTATCTTACTTTTCACGTATATCACAGTACTGAGCACAGTACTTTGCCGTTACAGGCTAAAACAATACTTGTTCATGTGAATTCATTAATTCTCGACACTCTTTCCCTCAGAGGAGGCATGCAGTCTCACAGCTTCAACTAACACTTTCAGCCTGTAAACTGTTTTGGTATTGCCAGCTGCTTTCTAAAAGGTTCTGCTTCAATTATCTGCTTTCTTACAGGTTCCAAAAGACTGATGGTGAAATAATCCTTCCTCCTGGACTCTTCTTGTTACAGGCCAAATTGAATTTTGTCCCCTTAAAATTTGAAGTCCTCAGCCCTTGTAGAGAAGACTGGGTGTTTGAAGAAATGATTAAGGCGGAAGAGGGTCACTGGTGGTCCCTCTGAGAAGAGATGAAGACCCTGAGAAGGCCAGATGAAGAGAAGGAGGCCATCTGCCAGCAGAAGAGGGAGGTCTTGAAAGAAAGCCACCCGCACTGGCCTCCGAAGTCCTTGGGTTTGGACTTCAGCCTCCAGAATCGTGAAGAAATACGTTTCTGTTGTGTATGGCACTTTGTTACGGCCACCTGAGCTGTCTGATGTACTTCCCTTCCTTTGGTTGCTGATGGGATTTTCTGATTTACCTCCGCATTTCTGGTGCTTGCTGCCTTCTCCTGGGGATACATGCTGTATTAGGAAGTCGGTTTCTCAACATGGTCAGCTCCTGAGAGTCACCAGACACTTGCACTGCTGTTACTTTAGCCCACCTGCATCAAACACAGTGTACTACGGTCCCACTACTGAGTCATCAGTTAAGATAGAGTCACGTGTTCCTGGGACACGCATGCTGGAGACTCATTGCTCTGCTGGGAACACCCTTCTCGCCTCGCACTGTTGGGTGTGGGTAGATAGGCACAGGTTCTTGCTGACTTCTCATCTGTGTATGCTTAGGATTTTGGTGCCTGTCCTTGACTTTAAGAAACTTAGGAAATGTCACAATGTAAGATAACTTCAGCCCCTCACTCTTTCATTCTGAAATTAGTTCAGAATTTTTGTTTGTTTGTTTGTTTTGTTTTTGGTACTGGGGATTGAACTCGGGTCCTTGCGCTTGTTAGTTCAGAATTAACTCACACCTGAGGCACCTAGTCTCCCCAAAATTTTGTAAGTGAAAAGAACCATTGTTAGCTCTGTTGACCAAACACTTTCCTTTCCCCCTGCCTACAATAGGTTACTGAATAAATCCTAAAGGTGACTTTCCCTGATAAAGAACTGCATCCAGGTGAAATTCAGCTGCCTTGACACCATACTTTGGGCATCAACAATGTGAGCTATGAATATGCAATGTATCTAACTGAATAAGATCAAGGCTATAAAACTCTATGAAAGAAGGAGTTGTAACCCAATGGGGGAGTCTATCAGTGTACCGCCATTAGGTCTCATGGCTCCCTAAACTTTTTTATTTTACTTCCTTTCTGGTGCCTCTCTGTGTGCCACTTGCCAACTCCTTCCTTAACATTTCTAGTCTCAACCTCCAAGTCTGTCTCTCTGTATTGTTCCTATACCAGTTATAGTTTAAAATATTAAATCTATGTTGAATGTCTTCTGTAACCAAAGAGGTCCATTTCCCTCTACTGTACCACACACATAGGTGGCACATCCTGAAGATTAACATAGGCTTAAGTTGGGGTCTTTAAACTCTGTCCTTTACTAATTCTGTGCCTACAGTACCGTACAGTGCTCCAAACTGTTCAGCCTCAACTTTCAAGTCAGTAGTTAATTTCTCTTGAGTAGTCCAAAGAAAAATAAATGAAATGTGGTGTGATTTATACGTCATGAAGAAATCATGACATATTATTATTATTATTGCTATTATTATATTTGTCTTTCTTCATGTTTCCTATATTGTTTTTCATTGTTTCTGGTCCTGTTAGAGGACCATCTGCATGGAGGTTGGCAGCAGGAATCTGTTTTTTTTTTTTTTTTCTTTGTACTTGAGATCGAACTCCAGCCCTTGTACTTGCAAGGCAGGTGGTGGAACCACTGAGCCAAACCCCTGGCCCTGTTTCTGGTCCTGTATATTATTATTATTATTTTTGCTACTGGGGATGAAACTCGGGTCCTTGTGCTTGCAAGGCAGGCAGTGGAACCTCTGAGCTATAGCCCCGGCCCTCTGGTCCTGTATATTCATTGTGACTCCTGCAACACATACCTAGTGGTTATTTAATAAATATTGAAAAATTTTAAAAATCAAACCTCTAAAATTCACTCCCCAAGGGTGACCCTATATAATGGAACTTAGTGGTTTGTTTCCCCAGATAAAATGGGCCTGGGGAACTTTTCTGAGGGGCAGAAAAGGCTTAAGAAAAAAAGAGTAGAGTTTAAAAATAAAGGCTTTATTTGGTAGAGTCTTGCAGTTAGTGGGGATTCCAAAGCCTGTGGATAAATGTATTACCCTTACACATCCAGATATCAGATAAACAACCCCGCTGTACTTCACCAAAATATTGCCAAGTTTAGACTTTGAGTCTAGCTCTTGGCAGCTGTGCTTGGGCGCTGTTCAGCCCTAAAAGCTCTTAATCATACTGCTAGAATGTGTTGTCAAGTTAGAGATGTAGCCTGGCCACTCCCTCCTTCTCTCTGTCTTTCTCCTGTTGGTGATTGAACCAGGACCTCATGGCAAGCCCTGTCGCCTGATTTTAAGTAGCCACACTTGTTTCTAATGACCCACGACAGACATGTTCATAGTTGAAGCACGTCTAGTTAAAATGCTTCATTATATACGTTTTAAAAGTTGATCCTTCCCCCGTCATTCACGTCTCATTAACTGAAGCTTACTTTTGACATATAAACCAGTTTTGACCAACACACACAGTAAATATGGAATTGAAAATATTTGTGTATCTTTATTAATATTTATTGTGTTTTCTAGTTTTTCTTTTTATTAATAGATGCTTGAATTGCATAACAGTTATATTCCTGTGTGGAGCTGTGCATGTACATAGCACATTGAAATCTCTTTTTATTCCCTTTACCTCTCCGCCTCCTACCTCTCTGCACCTCTCAATCCTCTTCCCATTTGAAAAAGATCTATCTCCCTTCTTCCTATTAACTATCTTTTATTTTGCTCTTTATTACTATTTTGGCTTTCTCATATAAGAGAAATACACGCAATACTTACACTTGTGTATCTCTGTATTTCACTTAATATTATGGTCTCAAGATGCATCCATTTCCTCAAAATGACTCAATTTATTGTTCTTTATGGCAGAGTAGTGCTCTGTTGTACATAAATACAACATTTCTTTATTAATTCATCTGTTGATGGACATATAGTCTGCTTCCAAGATTTAACTATTATAAATTGTGCTACTATAAACAGGTATGTATGTATAATGGTCATGTGATGGCTTTAACTCTTCCAGGAAAACACCTAGAAGAGGAATAGCTGTGTCAAATGCAATTTCTAGCTTTAGTTTTTTGAAGAATCTCCATACTGTTTCTGTAGAGGTTGTGCTAGTTTACATCCCCAGCTTGGCACTCAGTTAGTTGCATTATTCCAGGTAGATCTTTCCTTTTATGTTATATGGCAATGTACACTACTGATAAATGCAATGCACAAAATAAAATCCTTTAAAACAGTTATGCACAAGACATGAAATACTGGATTTGCACATTGGGTCCCAAAAAGTCAGACTAGACTTGGTTGGTGAAGTTATACAAGAGAATGACATATGTCTGTTTCAAGGGCAACTGGAGCCTGTGCGACATTGGCCACAGTCTCTCGGAGAGGTAGGGCTGCTTTAGTCTACCCAGTTTAGGACTGCACAAGTTAAGTACCACACGGCTTCAGCTGGGGTGAGACAAGATCAATACACATTGGAGCACACACTGCCTTACACTACTGTCTTTTCTCCTGAGTGTACATGTACGTTTGTTTGTGGACTCTTAGGACAGGCTCTCAGCATGGTGGGCTCTAGTCCTCTGACTGTGGGTTATTATGTGTCCTCTAGTTTGAGTTTAATCTTCCCATCAGTAACACTAACTAAGCTTTGGTTTCTTTATACTTGGCTTAATAGAGTACATTTTTCAAAAACATGTTAATTTTCTTGGATAAATCTTAGCTTAAACTTGGATTTCTATTTTCCCTTCTAGCACAGTTCTGGTTCTGCCTTTGGGAAAAATGGTATTCATCATTATACTGAGATACGTTTCTTGCCAACTTTGTCCCTGGGTGAAGCAATCACCCTAAAGAGGACACTTTCATGGCTGCTTTCTGTCTCTTGCCGCACCAGGTACCAATCTTTATTATTATAAAACAACTTGATTCACAGGGTTTCTCTTTATCAAAAGGGCATAGGGAGGGTTGCCAGTTATATTAGTTATGTTTTCTTGTCAGAGACAGACTACTTGATGCCAAAGTTAAAGGAGCAAAGGTTTATTTAGCTCACAGTTTGTAGAGGTTTCAGTCCATAATCAGCTGGCTCCAAGGCAGGGTGGCATGGCAGAGGGGAATTGTGGAGGAGAAACAGTTTGTGGCTGGCAGAAACTAACAAAGCAAGGGACTGTCACAGCTTTCTATCCCTTATAACTTATCTGGGCTACAAAGGGCAGGTAGCACTCACACTCTTAATCCTAGTGCCCTTGAGCGTAGCATTGCACCACGAATTAATCCAAGCACCACACAACCTAGATCCAGCCACCTCTGAAAAGCCCTACTGTGACCCCATGAGGGTTTGGTGGGACTTGTAGACACAGCCATAACACCAGTTAAATTTGCCATTCTACTGTCAAGCTTGTTGTGAGAGAAAGGGAAAAATAAGTGATTTTAAATACATGGTGATTTGGCCTTTCCTTACTTACTCTCTACTGAAGAATCTTGATTGCATAAAACAGAAGTAAACTCTGGGTATCCCAAGCAAAGAACACCATTACTTCAGTTCATAGTGTGCACAGGATTCTTTTTTCCCGAGTTTTATCACTTTTTCCACTTCTTTTAAAGGCTGCAGCAGATCTGACACTCTAGTTGGTGCTAAGCTCAGATCATCGAGGGCATGATGGTCTTACGAATGGGAGCAACAGCCCTAGAAGCTTCTTACCTCAGCTGCACACTATGCTACCCCAAGTGAGGGGGCTGCTTCCCTCTGCCACCTTGGGGTGCTCAGAAGCCCCAGCGAGGATATACTGCGCCTGATTTCTAGGTGACCCCTCCGACATTGTTGCAGCCAGGGGTGCCCTTCGTTGGTAAGTATAGTTAAGAGTTGAGGGAAGGTGGCGATTCTCAGTACAAAGGCCCTTTGTGTCAGGGCAGCTGAGAGGTTTAGAGATGAGGCATATAGACATGGAAGAGGAGCTTGTTGTCAGAGAGCTCCCATTACGTTGCAGAACGGGGCTGGCAGTGGCAGAGGACCATCCTTCACCAGCACATCTGCTTCTCAAGAATACTCTCCACCGAGTCTTTAGTAGTCCACACCCTGAAATCTGAGTTCCTATTACAATCTTAGAGGATCCATCTTGTTTGTAACGGGGAAAGGAGCATCCAGAAGGGCTCCCCTCAGTGCCTCCCCCCTTTCTCCTCATTGTAACCACCATCCTGAACTTCATCATTTTTTACCTGTAGTAAGCACAAGAAGTCACATATATTCTATTCAAGTCAAGATCAGGGCGCAGGAGTAGGGCCAGTGGTTTTTGGTGAGGAATAGGAAGTGGAAAATACCTAGCACACACATGGATTCTCCTGCTTATAATAAGCCTTCTATCTACCTGCAATACTGTTCTTCCCAAGATAGACATAACTGAATCTCTTAATTTCTTCTTCATAAGTTTTATATTTAGTTAGCCTTTTTTGGCTACTCGTTCTAAAATTTCAATGTCTCTTCTATAAACTTTCTATCTTCTTTCTCTGTTTGGTATAGCCCAGCAGTTGCTATCTTTCATAGTAATATATGTATTTATCTTGTTTCTTGTTTCTCTTTCTCACTAGAGTGTAAGATTTATGAAGGCAAGAAGTTTTAGCTCTTTCATTACTGCGTGTTTAGAAAATGTTGCTTGACACTTAGTAGGTGCTCAGTTAATGTTCCTGGATCAACTCAAACTATGTTGATATGTAGACAGATAGCTCTTCTTCCCTTCTCTTAAAGTATGCTTTCTCTTTAGTTATTGATCCTAGCTGCTAGATTAACAAGAGCAAATCAGGAGAAAAAACAAGGGCCAGGGATTTAACTCAGTGGTTTTACCACCTCCCTTGCAAGTGCAAGGACCCGAGTTCTATCCCTGGTTTTAAAAAAAAAAAAGAAAGAAAGAAAGAAAAGAAAAAGAAAAGAAAGAACGAGATGATCTCTTTAGATTTCTTTCCTACCCATCACCCAGAGGTGCGCAGTGAAATGGGGAGGATGGAGTGAGCAGGGCTTGGCCAAGTTTGTATTAGGTTTTATTTTTCCTCATTGAGTTTATTGGTACTTTTTAGGTAGACAGTACACTTACATTCATCATTGGGATCTTGTACCTTTACGTGACAGGTCTTGGTTCTCATTTTTTCCTCATACCCCTGGGTCAGCTGTCCTGCTGGAAAAGCTTCCTGTTTCTGTTTTGCATGGCAAACGTGGGGGGCAGGACCTAGAATTTGTAGCATGCTCAGTTGGTAAAGGAACTTGTTATACCCTTGGTGTTTAGAGCAACACACTCTGCATGGGGAAGAATGAACACTTACTTTGATTTACTGAGCATGGCAACTAAACTCTCAACTGTGTAACACACTGTGGGACAGAAGTCCTGGAGCTGTGGAGTCCTGTAAGGGTGGACACCCTGTGGGGCAGTCTGTCTGTAGATGGTATTGCCTAGGGCAGGGATTGAATTGAGCAGCGATGATTCATGGAAATTTAGAACACTCAGAAACTCAGAAAAGGTATTCTGTACTTTGTCATGAGCTACATTGGGGAGCCAAGTCATTCTGGAAGGAATGTGTGTGGAGTTTTCAGATGAGGTCTTAAAGTTTTTAGGTTGACTCAAACCATCTGTTTAATGTGAAGTTCAATCCAGCACTTTTTTCATCTCTCACAGCATTTATCAAGTCCATCACATAAATATTTGTTGAAGGCATGAAGAGTGCCAGGAACTGGGGTGAAAGAGAGAATGACACAGTTGTTCTTGTTCTTGAGATGCTTATGGTTTTAGTGGAAATAAAATTGCATATATGTTTTCTTCCTATTAATTGTAAAGTCAGTGCTTATAACTTATAAGAACCTTGGTTGCCAGGGCTGAGTATTGTATTGACCCATTTTTGCTTATGAAAGGAATTCATGAGAGTGCATGATTTACTGAAAATGGCTACGGCACTGTATAACGTTATTATGCATCATGGCTGCTGTGCTATGTAGATTCAGATTGCAATAAATTGTTTCTGGTTACAGAAACAGAATTCACTGTGAGGTAGTGACCACAGCTGCAGCATCAGCACATAATAAAGATACAAGAACAGCTGATAGACACAAGCTATTTTGTTTTCTGAAATTTAAAATAGGCTGTTTTTAATATGCTGAAAAGGCAGCTATTATGTGACATGGTAAGATGCTGGTAATAGATATAATCATCTTTCTACTTTTCTGAGCTGGTCCTAAAAATCACACTAGTCACTTCATCTTTTAATTTGGAAAGTATTGTGATAGACAATTTAAGGATTTTTTTTTTTTTTGGTACTGTGGATCGAACTCAGGTCCTTGTGCTTGCAAGGCAGGAAATGGAACCACTGAGCTAAATCCCAGCCCTGAGGATTTTAAAGACAAACAAAAGAGGCATTCCAAAACAGGTTAAAATCATGTATTGATGGTATTCTCAACTGACTGCACATGGTGGTAATGAACCTTTTGAAATAGTGTACAAATTTGCCATGTATCTTTATTTTTCTGAGACCATCCACCAAATTGTCCAATGGTTCATGTTCCCAAAAGATGAAGATCTTCTAGAGAGAGACACCACACGGGGGTTATAAAGAACCTTGGTGGCTTAAATGAACAACATAAGTGGCATTCATTGTTAGATTGGGTCAGTTTTGTAGGAAAGAATTTCTTTGCTGTCAGTGATAAACATTTTTCATACTTTATGTATATGAATTATCTTTCCATTTTTCATTTTGACTCAGGACTCTTCTCTAATAAATTGTGTATCCTCATGTATCAAACTTTTTGATGTTATGGTAAACTTTTATGACTGAAAACTAACTCTGTAAAGTTTTTAGATGCACAATTATCCATTTTCATAGTCAATTCTTTAGATCTTTTTTCTTCATATTTCATTTAAATTCTTTCCATATCCACAGAGCACTTCATGTAAGTGTTTTTTTTTTGGGTACTGGGATCGAACTAAGCCAAATCCATGGGATGTAAGTGTTCTGATGGTCTGTGCCTTAGTCTTTTCTTTTTGATGGCAGGTCACATTTTCAGGTGCCTTCTTTGGCCCAGGTGGCATCATGTATGTATCCGACACCAGGAGAGATGACATAAGGGGAGGTTCTGCTCTCATTAGTGAAATCTGGAGTGAGATGGTTAGCTCTGATTCCTGGGGATAGTCTTCCTAAACCTGAATTTAGCTGTTACTTACCATGTGACCTCTCTAATCCACCTTTCTTTATTCATAAAATAGGGCTAACAATTTAACTCGCTTTATACTGTGTATTTTTGGGAATAAAAATTGGAATGTAAACTGCTTAGGACAAAGGACAGCCACAGTTTAGTTCATGCCGTGTAGGTGCTTTACTGCTTCAGTATATTTTGCATTTCTAAAATCTTGAACAGGTCAAGATGATCTCACACCCAGTTAACATCTTTCTCCAGAGCTCCCAGTGCCACTTTTCTAAGGGAGACACGACCTCTAGGGCCCACAAGTGTTCTCTCCAAGTTCTGGAAATCCTGCAGACTTGAGTGCTAAGGCCTGCAGTTGGACATCTGCAAAATGAGCCACGCGGCCTCTTTCTTGACCCTTTCCCCAGGAGCCTGATCTCTTGTAATCCCAGTCTTTCTGGACTGCGTGTTACCACTCGGAGACACAGTACAAATACTGCGCTGGCCAGCACTGTGTGGTACCTAGTCCTGTGGGGCTTGCTTCCAAAAGAAGAAACCAAAAGCGTATCGTGCGTAGAAGGGCAAATAGTGATTCCTCCCAGCTTCTTTTGTTTCCTCATCTGCAAAATGATGAGACCTACCTTGAAGGGTCGCTGAAAAGTCCCTAACGGGGCCTGCTTGTCCCGTTCCTGCCTCTATGAGGTGAAGTGTGCCCACTTGCAACCAGAACCATGTTTCCCTAGGTACAGGCCTCGTCCCTAGCTTTTGCAAGGAAGCTATAGAAACTTTGGAAGTTATATTCGCTATCCGGGTTTCCACACTCAGAAGCAACCCCCCCCACGCGGAGGTCAGCTGAAAACCAAAACCAAAAACCAAAAAGCAACCCCTTGTGGAGAGCAGTTATTGCAAAATTCATTATATTACTTACATCCTTTTCCAATGACAGCAGTCACTGAAGCTGTCACTGAGCCTGAGGCCGTGACAGTGGCCATGACTGAACAAGACTGATAGGTGGGGAGAGGCCGTGCAGTGTGTGTGTGTGTGTGTGTGTGTGTGTGTGTGTGTGTGTGTAGGAGTTGCTCCCTGATATAAGCACTTTTAAGACCCACCTGTGTGAAGTACTGTAATGCCCTTGACCACCTGTTTCCTGCCTGATGTGTGACTTTGATATCCTGACCATCTGTAACCCCTGCCTGATGTGTAATAGATAAGCCCGAATCAGTGCCACACAGCCCTAGAATTTAGTATAAAGGAGAGAGCACTCGGTGACCCAGAGATTTGGTGGCCACTGGCCGTTCGTGATCTTGCACTAGGTCACAGCCAAGAGTCTGCTCCAGGACATCGGAGGGCACCAGCCCGCACCCCCGCAGACGTGAGTGCTGGCCGCAGCCTACGCTGACCCGCGCATCATTTTATAGAAGAAAGTCGGGCTCCTCGGATCTGTGCAGGTACAGGGAGTGGCAACTGACGGGCGGTAGTTAGAAGCGTGTTGTGTGATTAAAACATTTAAAAAGGCTACCGGCTTCTGCCTATTATTACTATCCTTGCTCCCTGCTTGCGACACCACTCCCCCAAACACTCCCATACAATACTCCTTAGCAGGAAAAGCATTTAAGAAGCACGCCCAGCCACGAGACGCGCAGGACTGAGCATGCGCGGAGCCTGGGCGGGGTGGGTGGGACTTTCCGGGGCGGGCATTTCCGGTATGTCACTTCCGCTTCCAGTCTCAAAATGAAATCTCCCGCCACCTGAGGAAAGAAGCCGTCAGTTTTTGTTTTTTCGCGCGTTGGGTTGTTCGCAGGTAAAAGTAACTCTCGAGAAATGACTTAGGACGGAGAGCAAACGTGGTATTGAGGCTTGTAAGCTGAAAAGAGCACCTTTTCAGCAGTGGGAGCAGGTTTTATCTTGTGAGGAGGGGCTGTGAGTGGGTTAGCGCAAAGGGCCTGCTGCCTTGGGGGATTTGAAGGCTCCAGGTGTGAACTTTGAAAGGCGCTTGTGGTCGGTTCCCAGGAGGCGTTCCCGCATGGCTGGACCCAAAAGACGTGCTTCTCAGCGTCATCAGATAGAAAGTAACAGGACACAGTCCATTAAGTCTCTCGTCTAGTCAGATTTTGGGATGGCACATCTTAACTCTTGGGATAGCAGAGATCTAAGGGTAGCGACAAACTGGCCCTCAGTGGGCAGAATATCACCTGACTCTCATTTTGTTAAAGATTATGACCATTCCCTGCATCTTCCCTGACAAACCCTCCCCCGCCCCTTACAGAATTATAACAGGTGTGTTACAGAACTACAGAAGCACGCTGCCCGGGGTTAACCATTTTGAACATTTTATGCATGCTTTCAACTTCAGTCTGTGTTTTTCTGTGTATGTGGATTTATATTTTGTTTTTTGTTTCCAATTTTTTTTTATGTGCTTCCATTGAAAGGTGACCAAGATGCAGTTTTCTGGAGCAAATCGGAGGAAGCTGAGGTTGGCAGGAGACCAGAAGAATGCTTGTTACCCTCATAGCCTTCAGTTTTACCTGGAGCCTCCTTCTGAAAACATATCTCTGATAGAGTTTGAGAACTTGGCTATTGACAGACTTAAATGTAAGTGACATTTGAATTAGAATATATAAATACTTGAGAATCTCAGTTATAATTTGTAAGGGTGAATGAAAATCTTCGGCAATCCATTCACTAAATATTTGAGTATTTGCTGTTGGGGGTTTGCTATTCATTCATTTATATATTATACAACACATTTGTGAGTGTCAAAGTACTGTAAATGGCTAGTTTGAGAGAAGAAATGTAAATGATATCTTTGTTGAAGCCGTGTTCTAGTACCTGCAGACAGTTAGCTAAAATAATAGTCATAACTATTTTTACTGCTTTAGTAGAACTAAATAATAGTGCTTCTAAATAATAGAAGTATAGAAGTGGGAGTAACTGACTTAGTCTGAGTAAGGCTTTTGAGAGAAGTCAAAATGTGATGTGGTCCTTGAAGGATGAGTAGAAAACTTCCAACAGGGAAATAGTGAAGGCTTTTTCCAAGCTGACATGATGCCTATAGACAAGTTTGGAAGTGTCAGAGAGAATGTCATGTTTAGGGAACGATAATAAGTTCCGCATGGATAGTGAAGTATGGGTAACAAAGAATGTTTTGTGCCGGGCTTATGGCACAGAGTTGGATTGTCACAGGGATGTGGCCGCCATACTGGCACTCTGCTTTCCTTCTCTGTGTTGATGGGAAAGGAATGAGTTACACGTGACTTGAAACAGACACTAGCATTGACATCATCGTATATGTTCCGGTACTGTACATTCTGGTGGGAAAATTAGGAGAAGTGAGATACTGTTTAGAAGAGCAGAGTGAGAACTGCTAATACAGAGAGGGGGCATTCATTACTTGTTTGTGGGATGTAAGAGTGAAGGCCAAGAAGGGCTGGGGATTTAGCTCAGTGGTTCGGTGGCCTGCCTTGCAAGCGCAAGGACCCGAGTTCAATCCCCGGTACCAGGAAAAAAAAAACCAAAAAAAACGAAGGCCAAGGGAGAAGGGATTTTAGAGAGCCTAGTGTCAGATGCTTCATAGAGATTAGAATATGATGAAGGTGTCCCTCCGATTTGACACCCAGATGACTTGGTAAGGACCTGAACTAAAGTAGTGACAATGGCTATGCCAGGAAGGTAGAAATGTAAGGATACTAAGGAGATAGTGCCTGTTTATTTATTTAATTTTTCTTCTTTTTTGTTTTTGTTTTTGAGACAAGGTCTCACTGTGTAGTTGAGACTGACCTGGAACTCACTATGTGGCCCAGGCTGGTCTCGAACTCACAGTGATCGTCCTGCCTCAGCCTTCCCATTGCTGGGATTACAGGCGTTTGCCACCACACCCAGCTCTTACCTGTTTATTTTTGGTGTTGTTGATTGAACTCAGGGCCTCACACATGCTATATACATGCTATACCACTGATTTATACCCCCTGCTTCTAAAGGAGTTATTGTTTACAGAACTTGGTGGTTGTTTTGTATATGAAGAATGATGTAGCAGGTTTAGGGTGGCTGAAGTTCCTTCTTGAATGATGTAGTGTTTGGAAACTGCTAAGGGAGATTGGGAAGGCAACATGAGGAGCAGGAATAAGGGGAACATAATTTGGTTTGGGTATAACTTAATAAGGAGGTATCAGTGGGCCATGGGGTTTATGTTTAGGAGGCAACTTAGAAAATTTCAAGATTTAAAAAATTCTTCAGGGGCCAGGGATTTAGCTTAGTGGTGCTGCTGCCTGTCTTGCAAGCTTAAGGTCCTGAGTTTGATCCTTGGTATCAAAAAATGGTGAAAGATTTATATGATCTGAAGAGAAACTAGAGTATTCC